ATCCCTGATCATGCCGCAGGATGAGAACACTTTTGCCCCATATAGATCGAAAGGGGCAGGGCTGGTGCTTCAGGGGGACCTCTTGGTGCTCCAGCCTTGGGTCTGGGTCCTCCTCTTAGATTTCTCATCTGGAGATTGGCAATCAAGGCAAACACTTCAGGGATGTCACAACTTACAGGGTTTTGCTGCCTAAAGGAAAACTTATCTAGAGTTGGAAAGAACTTTCATGGTTGAATGATGACGGCCGGTTCTGTGCAGGAACCCTACCTCTGTTCTTGTACACCTGGCCATGCAGGTTCACGCTTACTCCTAAGCCACTGGCATTTTGAAAAACACAGTATGAAATCAGGAGTGTTTAAGTCATAGTCTTCACTGGATTGCTTGAGACCAAACAGGAAGCAGTGATGGCTTGTGTGGCTCCTGTGTCTGTGCTGGAGTGCTTTAGGGAGGCTGAGCTCCTCTAATCCATCAGGAACAATGGCTTCATTGTGCTCTCCCTTGTTTGCTTGCTTGTTAGACTTGGAAGAGGAGGAGCTGGGAGCTGCCTGTGTTTCTGGGGCCTGAGGGCACTATCACAGCCTCCGGTATTATTAGGGCTAAAGGTTTTGCTCAAGGATGTCAGACCCCGTGGGCCCACTGAAGTTGCTGGGGGGCTGGGATAGGGCCCTTCCAGACCTCAGTCCTGAACTTGCCAATGCTCTGAAGCAACTCTGCTCCTGAAGGACAGGCTGAGATGTGTCATTCATGGAGGAGCTTCAGGAAAGAACAGGTAATGTTTTCAGGAAGTCCAAGTTGACAGGCAAAGGTGGATAGGAGCATGGCACAGCCCAGAAAATCCATTCTGAAGGTCTAGGCATCAAGTTTGGGAAGAGAAGAGATGAGAAGAAACAACAGACTCAATAAAATTTAAATATTAACATAAAAGACAGGAATTTTCTATTTGAAAACAAAAACAGGGTCCATCATAAAACATACGAGCCAGTAGTGTTGGGTCTGATAGGAGTCCTGGTCAAGATTGAGTTTAAGTTTTATTTCTTCCATCAAGAAGCTGTGAGTTGTATAATTCACTTAAAAATTCTCAGTTTCATTTGTAAATTGGGTGCTCACAGCATTGCTTCGATGAAGATCAGAAGAGCTAACAAGGCATTGTATGAGACTGTGCTGTGGACCAAACTCAGGCTAATGAAGGGCGTGATGCAGGAACAGCTGGTTCTGGGACTGACAATGTGAGCAAAGGCTGGGGCTGGGTCTCCTCCTAACCTCCAACCTTGCCCCCCGACCACACTGTGGAGGAAGCTGCTTGTTTATAAACAGGCTGCAATTTGGAAAAGCAAAATGTGGGGCCAGTCCTATAGTCTAGTGGGTAAGTGAGCCACCTGATAGATAACTGAGCTCAAATCCTGGTCTGAGAGGCTTGAAAAACATACTGGGAGGGTTAGGGGGGCAGATAGCTGGTGGCATGGAGGTTAAGGTGACTGGATCCCACATGACCGACTGCAGTTTGAGTCCCAGACCTGCAAGCTTGAAAATCATGCTGGGTGCATGTGTGTGTTCATGCTCAAAATCCGGAGAAGAGAATGGAGAAGGGATTGTGGAGTGGTCATTCCCCCTGGGGGTGATTTTTCACTTTCCATCCCTCTGTCTCTCTCTGGTGAGCACATGTGCTCACCAACAAAGAAAAGAAAAACAAAAAACCCCAAAACACACTGGGCCATGCACAGGCATGCCCCCAATTCCAACATAAGAAGAAATGAAGAGATTGTATTGTGACCATGTCCTGCTGGGGAGTGCTTTCTCTCCCCACCCTGTCTCTCTGGTAAAAGCATGCACTTTTTGATTCCCCCACCCCCACAAAAAAAGACAAAAACAAAAGTAAAAGTAAAATTTACGGCACATGTTGTACTAATGTCCAATCTGGGCTTTTAGTGCTCAGGCTCTGGCTAAGGTTATCTTTGCTCTTCGCATCCGTATTCTCCCTGAGGAGACCCCCTCGAGCCTGGCCACCTAACAGAAGGAAGTGCTATCTGACCACTGGAGCCCAGGCTGCTCCTTTCCCTTAGGAACTTCCATTCCCAAGTGCAGTGCGCCAACACAGATAGGCCAGCATGGTTCTCAAACTGTTTCATGTATTCTGAAAGCAAGTACCATGACTTCTTTCCTTGGGTTTCCTTTAGGATATAAAAGATGGCTCTGAGGCAGGTAGGAAATACCTGCAGAAATGTGATAGATAAAGCATGGCTTCCTGGACCGCAGTAATTGCCTATATTAATAACTCTTTCCTTCCTTCCACAGTCTTCCTGTCACCAATGCCTTAGTCACCTCATAAAGGTCAGTGACAATGTTCATTTTCTAGAAATTGCTTAATATTTCACTTTATATTTGTGTAGCTCATGATCGACTCACAGGAAAGAGCCACCAGCAGTGGTAGAATCAGAATACTTTAATAAGATATCAGTGTCAAAATACATTTCCTTATAAAGTTAAGCTCCCATATAGTTATAATGTCAGTAGGAATTCGACAATATAATAATGTTCATAAAATCGTTACGTTGACAGGGTTAATATGAAGCTTGGAATATTTTTCAGAGTGTTTTAGTAAAACTGCAAAGGTAAAATGCCCTTAATGCTGTGGCAACACACACAGGAAATCAAATACCAGCACTCACGTTATCAGTAACCCTTCAAGGTCTGCCGCCATGTTGTCAGGCAACGCCGTGTCGCTAAAATACGGTTTAGGCAACACTGACTAGGAAATCTCATACAATTTAGATTCCTTTTGAAAGTTAATTTTCAATATTTGCAATATGTCTATCCAGACTTACCAAATTCTTGGCCTGCTGTGGTTTGTGTGTGCTGTATGAAACATCTTCATGGTACCCACGACAGAAAAGTTCCATGGGATTGGTATTTAAGGACCAAAAGGTGTCGTCCCTCTTCCCAGTGAGTTACAAAGTGCTCTGGGAACACTCTAGTTTCAGTGCTTCCTACCTATACTGTCACTTCATGTGACAAAAAGACCTCAGCAAGGACCTGAGGCTAGGGACTGTCCCTGGAAGTCTGCTTGCTGCTCACCAGCAGGGAGCGCGGCACTGTGGTCTTGCAGGGCAATCTGACCACAAGCTGAGGGAGAGACACACGGTGGGGCTGGTCAGGACCAGCTGTCCTCCCTTTGGACACCCTCTCTCAATCTAGTTCCATGTGTTCTAAAGTCGTGAACTAGGAGAATGGGGCCTGGGCCACTGCATCGCTTCTGAATCCTCACTTTATGAATTCCCATCTGAACCTTTTCGCAGCAGTTCTGGGAATATTCAAATGTGCTGTGTGAAAGACCCCTGGAGTCACATAGCTCAGTGCACTTGAAGGGCTAGCAAAAAACCTTAGAAAGTTAAAGCACTTCCCCTCCCATAGCGTCCTCCCCATCCCGAGTCGTCAGACCCTCTTGGCAGCAGTAATAACACAGACATGACACACAGAACACGAGAGGATGGTGTGCGATGCCCACACTTGACGATTTCACTTCTTGGATCGTTTGTCATACCCATGGCATATCACAAAAGCAAAAGCCAACAGAGAGACCTTCAGCAGTGTGAGCACAGGCCTGTAAGAGAACTGTACAATCCTGCGGTGTTAGCAACACCGAGAAAAAGAAGATGAACAGCTTACAGAAGATCTTAAAGTGATTTTGTGAGCAGGATTCCATTTCTGTTTCTAAGTTTTTAGATATTACAAAGTACCCATATATATGATAAACACTTAACCCAGATATAAATTTTCTTTTTAAAAAACTCAGTTATGTTTTTGAATAATAATAATAAAAACTCCACTGAATGGGGGGGACACCAAACAGTTTAGGAAAAGCCACTGTGCAACTTTCACAGATAGCCACATACACTGCAGTTCACCTTCACATTTCTCTTTTTCCCCGAAAGTCATATCAAAATTAGAGCAAAGAGTTGCTTTAAAAAAACCAGGAGAGACTAAAATTTACAATATGGTGATTAGTTTTAAAAAAGGAGAGAAGGGCTTTGAGAAGGAGGAGCCCTAAATCAAGCTTGGAAAACAAAATCATATTTTGAATCTCTTTGGCAACAACAATAACAAAACATCTTTTTTAGTTACATGAAGCCAAC